TACAATTCTAGTGGTAGCAAAGTTAAACAGGGAAGACACCAACAGTATTTTCTGTTCTGAGAATCAGAAGGAAAAAAACAACATCACTGACAAAAACCGTTTGGTTGTCCTTCATTGTAATGCAGACCTGTCAAATCTCATGTGATGAGTATCAGACTTGTTCTTTTAGCAACTGCTTTCTCATTCCCTACTCTGGCATCTCAAGTTCATGCATCAGCAGCGTGCTGTCATGTGGCCTGATGTGCAAGCCTTGTGTGCTGGGATTTTAAGGATTTTACAGAATTTGTCTAGGTCACAAACCCAAGCATCTATACAGCAGTGAAGCATCTTCATCCGTTGCAAATACAACTTCTATGGTTTATCCCATGACAAGATTTGCTTTACTCTGTCTTCTAGCCTGAAAAGAAGTCCCTACAGATGTTTTTCAGTGAGTGTGTATCTGAGATCTGTGCTTGAGACAGATCTTGTCTTGTGTCAGTGCCAGATCTTCTATCAACAGAATTTCTAGCTTCATTTTAGGACTGTATTTTGTTAATTTATGCTTGCCTTCTTGATGAAATAATGGAAAGAAACCTTCCTGAGATCTTTAATCACCATTTTCTTGCTTTCTATATTTCCTGTTTACCTAGTCAAAAGATCCCATACTTTTCTTTTTAAAAAAGGAAAATCTCAAAAAGGCATATATCAATATTTACATTTTAAAATCATAATCCAGATTTGAAAACAGACTGAGTCAGGGTGAATGGCCTTTATTCTTCATAAAGGACTCGTAATTCTCCTTTTTTTCTGTTCTCTGCATCCAAAGTCCAAGTCCAGGATAAGTCAAATGGCATGCAGGAATAAAATAAGTACTGTTTTCTAAAAGGTCAGTAGGAAAAAGAAAGCTATATGACATTAAGGAAGAGAACATGAGAGAAAGCATTGTCAAGGCGAACATATGTTTCAAAATGGCTGGTTTTTTTTTTTCTTTTTATCTAGCCAGCACCTTTGTTTTCTTAAATCAAAAATGTTAAGGATTTCTAAATTAATCTAACAATTACAAAAAAGGAACTATGATCATTATTTAACTGCTTTTGTGTTATTATTCTCCATATTAACTCAGGTTTCTTCTACTTCTCAATCTTACTTGTTAATTTAATAGCATGGCCTACATTTTGAAAGTTTTGAAAGCACAGAAAATATTTACTCCTGATACATGCACTGAAATTGTGAAGTAAAAGTTACACTGCATTTGCATTACCTTTACTTATGCAGACCTCCAGTGCAAACCTGAGAAACAGCTTTGTTAAATCTCCATCATTCCAGAATTCATGCATACAAAACAACTCTCTTGGTCACAAACCAGTCTCCTGTTACTTTTATTAATACAAGTTTTCTCATATTTCATATGGAGCTCTGAAAGTAAAAAACAAAACTGCGTTACAAAGATAGAAAAGTGTCCTAAAATCACACCGTTCTACATCTATATAAGTCAGATTGACTGTGCTAACTCTCTCACAGGCAGCATGTTCATTCTAGGTTAGCTTTTGTGATAACTTACATTATTTGAATGACTATTTGCCACCACCTAAGAAGAATCAGTATTTCTCTTATTTTCTTTTGTTGAATTAGCAAACAGTAATTAACTTGTTCTGTGAATCTCATGATCCAGCAATTGGTACGAAAAAGAAAAAAAATCAGTCCTGTGAGTGTTAGCAAATTAAAAGGAGGTAGTATAATCAATACAGCTGAAAATCTGATGTTCATAACTACTTCTGTGGTGTTCCTACCACTCCTGGTTAAATGAATTAGATATTTTACTAAACTAGGTCCCTTGTATGTTAGAATTTGGTGAAAATAGCTAGCTCATACTAATTACATTCAAAAGGGAGCTTCAAGTACACCATGCTCCAAAAATGTTAACATACTGTGACCCAGTGACTATTAATCAACAGAAACTCCTGCCTGATGGAAACAGTGCTCTGTGGACAGGATTATCACCACAGCATGACACTGGACTAAGATGCTTGAGGTAAAAAAGCTTACTTATGTCTAGCATCATACTATTTAATTCCAATCCATTTCTTTCTGATGCCCTCTTCAAAAGCCTCTGAAGAAGACAGAAAGGGTAAATTTTCTGCAAGACAACAAATAATAGACAAAAATTGAATAGTGAAAAACCACCCCACTATCATCTCTTCAATCAGCACACAAAGAAAAATAACATGGCCAGGTTGGATGGAGCCCAGAGCACACTGGTGTAGTGAGTGACATCCCTGCCCATGGCAGGGGTGTTGAAACCAGGTGATATCTAAGGGCCCTTCCAACACAAACCACTCCATGATTCCAAGAAATTTCAGTGTTAATTATGCATTCTTATGACTTCAACAATTATAGAAATAGAGAAGTATTATTTATGCAGATTTGCTGTTTAACATTTTCAGCATAAAAAAAAAATCCCATGCTTTACAGAAGGATATATGGCAACATAAAAACAATACAGCTTTATATTCTATTGATAGTTCCCTGTATGGAGGCTATAGGTGAGAGATTACTTTGAGAGATTACTTCAAAACTTCAATGCTAAGATAAATGCCAATATTTAAAATATGTGGGGGATCTTTGTCTTGGGATAAATTTGGGAACCTGGTATCATTTAGGTCTTGTAATTTCTAATGTATCTGCAGAAACCTACTTTAAAATTCTAATAGAATAATAAATCCATAGTATCCATTTTCTAAATTCTATAAACAAAAACTTCTCTGAATTCTTGAATACTTGAACGGGTCCAGAGAAGAGCAACCAGGCTGGTGAAGGGACTTGAGCACAAGTCCTATGAGGAGACGCTGAGGGAGCTGGGGTTGTTCAGCTTGAAGAAGAGGATGCTCAGGGGTGACCTCATCACTCTCTACAACTCCCTGAGAGGAGGTTGTAGCCAAGTGGGGGTTGGTCTCTTCTCCCAGGAAACAATCAGCAATAGGACAAGAGGGCATGGGCTTAAGCTCTGCCAGGGGAGGTTTAGGTTGGATATTAGAAGTTCTTTACAGAGAGAGTGATCAGGCATTGGAATGGGCTGCCCAGAGAGGAGGTGGATTCACCTTCCCTGGAGGTCTTTAAGATGAGGCTGGATGTGGCACTGAGTGCCATGTAATCACACTGGGGTTGGATCAAGGGTTGGACTTGATGATCCTGTAGGTCTCTTCCAACCAAGTTGTTTTAATGATTCTATGATCTACTCTTTCAAATATCTATTTAGCTAAGATTGAAAATTACATTCCAAAATGTGAAATGTTTTATGAAAAGCTATAGTTTAATATATTCAGGATTATATTACATATTTATAATACTTTCTAAAAACAAAACCTTATAAAACAAAGCTTTCATAGGAGAATATCAGTTTTTCTCTATCTGATTGATAATACATATAAATGCCCTGCTCTAAGAGGGAAATGGGTTGTTACTCATAATTTTTCCCATAGATATTCATCTAAAATCAACAGTAAGAATAAATTGCATGCATCAAAAGATAAATCAATTCTTAGCTGTTCATACATGCATGCACACATACAGATAGCCTAAAATGCTGAGCAAATTCATGATTTACATGCTCACAATGGCAGAAAGAGCAACATTTCATGTTTCATGCAGGAAGGAGGAGTGAGCTGCAAAAAAATGCACGAGGTCTTTGAAAAATACTCCACTTATTTCCTATTTTCATATTATAGTGGGGTAGGTAAAAATAGCTGCAAATGAAATTAAAAACAGAGCTAGAATGACATTTCTTCTGGCATCCACATTCGTGTCTATTATGCAGTTTGCCCACGTCACAGCTCCCATGGCTGATTCACTTTATGCAATACCATGTGTACATAGAAGTGGATAACCCACAGGGAAAGCTGTTGTTTCCATTCTGCCTCAGACACTGTCCCTGCCCTTTCCTCCGTCTGGGATGTGACTAGCTCTCAAACGTTGGGCAGCCATTGCCAGAGTGAGTCACCCATGCCTCATCTTTACCCTTTCATTAGAGCAGAATATGCCAAATCTTCAATCTGGCTGCAACACCCTTTATGCATTTTCCTACACTCTGTGGACCTGCACTTTTGAGCCAAACGTAAATGTGGGGTTTTGCATTAGAAGATGGGGTTACATGGAAAGTGCCAAGAAGAGATTTAAAACATCATCTCGGACAATAAAAACCACCACTTCATAATAACCTTGCTACAGACATCAAAACTGACTATCGCCACCCAGAAGCGATGTTGCCATGTCCACAGGGGGCTGTTGCCATCGCACAGCAGCACGGCTCTGCCGTCTGCTCCTGTTAGTTCACCGCCGCAGAAAATCCAAGCGAGGCAACAGACAGCAAGACATCGGGGTGCGATGAGGACGAGGACCAGGGACTGTCACTGTGCACAGCGAGGCCACTGACGAGTCGAAGGGCGCTAGGCCTCGCACATCCCCAGTGCCGGCGGCGGGGCACGAAGCGCGGCGGGGGAAACGAGACCGGCCAGAGGGCGGGAGTAGGATGAAGAGCCCGGAGCCGGGATAAATGGCCGGCAACAGCCCCGAGGCGCTGGCACTGCCGGCTCTCCCCTCCCCCCCCCCGCAGAGGGCGCTGTGCAGCGCCGCGCCCGGGCCCGGCTGCGCCCTCCCCGCTGCATGGAGCGCCTCCGGCAGCCCCCTAGCGCCGCTGCCAGCGCTGCCCCGGCGGCAGCAGTCGACCCGGAAAGGCAGCGGGACCGGCTCCCCCTGCTCCTTCCACGCTCTCCGCCGTAGCACGGACACAGCGCGACATCCCTTCCCCAGCCCCAGACCAGCTCGCAAAGTGCCACGCGCGCCCCGCGGCCCCGCCTGTTCCACGGCCGGGCGCTGAGCACCCCGGGAGCTGTAGTCTTTCCTCCCGTCCCAGCGGCGGCGGAGCCGGGCAGGAGGACTACGACTCCCGGGGGCTCGAGGGATGGAGGGCGGGGCGGGCCGGGGGCGGAGCGGGGACAGCTCCGGTGCTGATCGCGACGCGGGTTTGCCGGGAGAGCCCGGGCGGGCGGCGGTGGCTGCCGACGGGCGGGTGCGAGCGGCGGCGTGCGGGCGGCGGGGCCGCGCCCGGCGATGAGGCACGAGGCGCCCATGCAGGTCGGTGCCCGGGCTGGAGCCGAGCGAGGGGAGCGGCGGTACGGGACAGGAGCCTCTTCTCTCTTCTGCCGGGGGGAGAGGACGAGGACACCCCTAGCGTGTCTCAGGGGTCTGTGCGAGGGGCCGTGTCCCCGTGAGGGGTCTGCCCGCCGCGGCGCAGCGGGGCGGCGAGTCCTCGGGCGGCACAGCCCTGCCGTGGCCGCCACCCCGGCGCCCTGGCCGCCGGCGGGTTTCGAGGCACATTCAGATACATCGGGCTCGCAGCTCTCCTGTGACTGGGTGTCAGTTGTTGGGTGATGAGGTGTATCGAGGCCCTATCGGGATGTGCAGAAAGTTGGCATGATGCCTCCATCTGTTTATTAGAGGAGCACTTATCCATCTGCATCAGGCAGAGGTGGCTCTTGGCTAGAGCAGGGTGTAGCAAAGAAGTGGCCCCTTTTCAGCAGTTTTTCTATTTATGGAAAGATATAACACCCATCAGCACTGGAGTAGAAACTGGTGGTGAAGTGGTTAAGGCACGGCGCTGTCAACGCCTAGGCCTGGGTTCGATTCACGGTTAGGACGCTCCCCGGGCAGATGGAGCTCGTTAGCCCTGTAAGGCAATCCGTCTACGTCCTGAGGACCTCGCTGCCACCGTCCAAGCTCACTTGGCCCCGGCAGATGAACCTCAGGATTAAAAGGTGGGCTCAGTTCCACGCACACTGTGTCTCACCTGAAAAATCCAATGCGCAGGCTGGAAGGTGTAAAAACCTTTCCCGGTTCTTCGTTCGCGAAGACTGGCCATTACTTACTTACTACATCACACAGAGTTTTTAGCAGTTTTCAGGTTGTTGACTCTAAACAGTTTGTGCTGGTCAACTGTACTTCAGTTGTGAATTAGGACCTAGTTTGTAATCATATGTGGAAGCTCTGGAGCCCTCAGACTATACATTCGAACACATGACTGGTTTTTAGTAGAAAAGTGGATTGCTAACCATTATTTTGCAGTCAAGTACAAAGAGCACTTTTGCAGTCTGCTGTGATTTAGGTGATGAACTGCAGCCCTGTTAGTTAATGTTTTTCATGCTGGATATCTACTCTGGCACAAAAAAAGTTTTGTCTGAAGGGAGGATCTGCATCATTTTGCCTGCTACATGCATATGTCAGAACTGTTTATGTAGTATTTTTTACTTATTCACACATGTTTATTGAGCTACTGAAGTTGTGTTTACTATGTATTGGTTTTGGAGAGCATTTCATTAAATGGAAATTTTGCTAGTAAAGGGTGAAAACTGTAGATTGGTCTCTACCGTATCTGACATTTTTGACAGGTTGTTGAATTCACTAAAGTTCTTAAATAGTTGTGGAAAAAAAAGTGGTGGTGCAACATTAAAACAGAATCTAAGGAAAGGAGAGTCCAGATATAAAAAAACCCATAAAAATTGTACTTGACAACCAGAGAATGCCTTCTTGGTTAATTTATTGATTGTCAGAACAAGTGAAAATATTGTAGAAAACATGGCCTCAGTATAAAAAGAGACAGCAGAATTCTATAACTCCACCTGTAAATTCTGTTTTTTCAAGACTTCTGACATTGTCAGTCAGTGTCCATTTTTAAGCATGTTTCATCCAAAATCATAATCATACGCATCTGGATTTTTCCAAAATGTGAAAATGCAGTCTGGCAGAGAGATATTTTGATTTTCAGTTGTAGTTTTGAGGTTTTTTGTTTGTTTGTTTCTACTACTTACACTATTCCCAGCATAAAATATTATTCCTGTAAAAGATTTCAGTAAGACAATTTTCTTTTGTGGATTCTTCTTAAGAATCTTGTTTTCCAGCATTAGGCTAATATGGCTGAACCTTTTTCAAGTGTGGTTTAGACTGACTGAACTAATTGCTTGATTTATCTCTTTTAGCTATGTAGTTTCCTATTGCATGAAACAAATGTAGTTGCTTCTTTGCACACAACAGTATTTTGGAACAGTTTGTTACAGAGCTATCACCTCTGAATTGTAGAGCAAGGGAAAAAGTGTTCAAGTATATGTCTTTTGATCATGACAAAAACAACTTGGAAGAGAGTGTAAGCATTTTTTCCATTTCCACTGAGCAATAATTAAAAAGAAAACTAAAATGCTAATATATTTCAGCAGGATGAAAAAAATCCAGACTGATCACTTTCTGTATTTGTGAATTCTTTCTTTCAATTGCATTTCATGCCATTTCTCTGAAGACAGGAATGACCAGCAATTGCCACAAAGGCAGTCCTTCCAGGAAAGAGTAGCCTAATGTGAAAGCTTGCTGTTGTCATCTACTTCATGTAAATGGTTCTGGGTCACAGCTGTGACTACTTTGCATTTTTCTAGCCAATTTTTAAGAACAGATATCAGTCTTGGTAGTGCTTATGGCTGTGGAAACGTCTTAAGTTAAGAAGTCAAAAGTAATGAGTTCTCTTTTCTGTGAAACATTGAATTCTGTATGGTTTCTGCATATTCTTTTAAGATTTGGTCTGAATTACTTGAAATGTCTATGTATCTCTCAGTAGTTTCCCTAAGGGTTTCATGGTACTTTCAAAGGTGAAGAAGGTTCAGTGGGAAATTCTCAGTGATTCACACACCCATTCACTGGCTTCTAGTTTCACTCCTTATCTGATTGTCACCATCATGGTTAGGCTTCACAAATGAAGATTTGAGAAAGGCTCTACCCACGCTTGCTACAAGTGCGCTGATGGCTAAAAAGGCCAATGCAGGATAGGCAAGTCAGGTGCAGAAGGCACAGCAGAAAGACTCCCCAGGTGATATGGACAAGGCGCGATTCTTTCTGCATTGTCTTTTCTTGTCAAGAGTGATCCTGTGAGTGTTCTTAAAAGAAGCAGCAGCGTTGTAAGTAGAGTGTTTCCATGTATCCCAGCTGGAGGCCAGAGTAGACCAATGGTGGTGATCAATATGGCCAAGGCTGAGGGATTGTTTCAGGCAGTCCTTGTATCCCCTCTTCGGGGCTTCTCTTTTGGCAGCAGCCAGTGGCAAGTTCCCCATAGAGCACAATCTTAGGGAGGCGATGGTCCTGCATCCTGGAGACGTGCCCTGCCCAACGCAGCTGAGTTCTCAGCAGCATGGCCTCAATGCTCGTGACTGCTGCCTGTTCAAGGACAGACGTGTTGGTCACATAATCCGTCCAGTGGATGTTTAGGATTGTACGGAGGCAGCGCTGGTGGAAGCGTTCTAAGAGTCACAAGTGGTGGCAGTAAATGACCCATGATTCAGATCCATATAAAAGAGTAGACAGTACAATGGCTCTGTAAACGCTGTTCTTAGTACTTCTCTTCAGGTGTTTGTTTTGCCACACTCTTTTATGGAGTTTACCGAAAGCTCTGTACGCCTTTGCTGACCTGTTGTCTATTTCTGCATCAATCTCACCATCCGACGAGATGATGCTTCCCAGGTAATTAAAGTGCTGAACAGATTTAAGCTCTCTTTCACCAATGGTGATATGGGGATGATAGGGGACTTCCTGAGGTGCAGGCTGATATAAAACTTCTGTTTTCTTCAAGCTGACTTCCAGACCAAAAAGCTCAGCAGCCTCTGCAAAGCAGGATGTTAAACGCTGCAGAGCTACTTCTGTGTGGGCGATGAGGGCGATACCATCCGATTGTAGCATGCAGATTTCCCACATACCTGCACTTTGCCAAAATACAAAAAGAACTGTAGTTTGGATAACCTATTCTTAGTGTTTATTAGTGCATATGGACATCAATGGTGGAAGTTTGTAGAAAATGCTTGCCAGGACATCAGATAATTTTTTTCTTTGCTTTTCATATCCTGTTATCACTGGCAGTGGTTATGTAAGATAGATTTATAACAGACACATCCAAACACAATGGAGAAGGGCAATAACAAGCAAAAAGGCTGCCTACAGATATTGAAGAAGTATTATAAAATTGTGATGGGAAAAACCAATCAAATCTATTAGATGCAGGAGTTTGCATGGCAATTCAGCTCCCATCACTCTGCAAAATTATTGGATATGTCAATCTCAATTCAAATTAGAAGCTCTGGAGTACAAGAGCCTGCCAAGCCAGTGACTCCACAGAAAAACTCGTATACACCTTTTTGTTAACTGATTAGGCTGCATCTGGAGTTTGTAGTCCTTTTTCTGTCATTACCTACTTTTGGAAGTGTACTGTAGAAACTCACTCTCTTTCTGATTGGATACTTACTATTCTCCAGCACAGAGGCACTTGGGGCTAGTTTATACTCACTTGTTAATGTCCAGTGTCTGCTTCAGTTTACACCAGTCCAAATAGTTCTTATTGCATGATGGCCAGATTACTATCTAGAGAAACAAGCTCATGTTTTACTTTCTGTTTTTTGGGCTTTTTGTTTCATTTGGTTTTGATTTTTTAAAATTATTTTTATTTTTTTGTCATAAGGTAAGCTCTTCCTTCTTGTAATCTCCCTAATAACCTTTCTGTGTATTTTCCTGTTTGAAAACAGGTTTCATAAATACACTTGACCAGAATTGTCACTAATGCTGTCTCAACAGGGCCCTAGACAGTGGCATTAGTGTTTCACTTTGTCTCTTGGCCTGATGCAACTGCTCTGGCAAGTAAAAAGTTGCACAGTCTTTCCTAGTCTCATGCCCCTGAGTGCTGTACTAAGCAGAACAAATGGCAGAAGCTTTAACCATCTTGTCTTCATTTTCTTTTATACCCCCTGGTAAATCCAAGTTTCTCCTAGAGTACCTGGGCTGACTCAGCTTTTATTTTTTATTTTCAGTGCTGCACTATTTTGGTGGCCTCTGTGTTAGACTAACATATTTAGGACTGTATCTCTGGTTTTGCCTCTCTTTGGAGAAAGAGATTTTAATGTACTATCTAGTCTGGTAACTAGAAATATGCTTCTTAAGCTACCCTTTTCATGGAGAAAGTAAATTTTCAGAACTGTTTTTTATTTACCCTAAATTCTCCTGTCCTGGGCAGCTGCTACCAGTGTGACCACATTCATGATAGTTCTGTTGATATG